CAGTTTATTATCTGAAGATTGTCCAGTGCATTTTTTCTAGTAGTCTTACTTGAGAGCACTGGAGAAGGCCACATAGGACCAGTATAACTTACTAGGCAGACAAAAAATTGCTTCTATCCGCCACCAGCTTGAGGCTATCCTCTCTTTTTACTCTTCCTTAAAACACACACACACACACACACCACCCATCTGGCTCCCTCTCTTTCCCTACTAGTTATAGTCAAAGAAAGAGTTCCTAAGCAATCAGCCCAAGATAGTCTCTTCTTCTTTCCCCCTACCACAATCACCACAACACTGTTCATGCTGATCCTAGGGATAAACGTTAAAAGTAGGAGCAGATTTGCATTTTCTCAACAGTGAGGAAATCAGCAGCTTCCATGTGATCCATCATCTGATGCAGGAGGTGGTGCTGGTGAACATATATTATGTTCACCCTTCCAGCCGTACTATAGAGTAGATACAATGAAAGGAATGAGCGATACCGAGTAGTTATCCATATGAGACATCCAACTTCCTTTCCTCCTCCATCTTCTCCAGTGACAACAGCAGGCCTTTTTTTTGCCCAGTGGCACAAAGCATTGTCAGTGGGAAAACATTACAGGAAGAAAGGATTACCCTCTCACTAGAATGGTGGTCCTGATCTAATTCGGGACGGGGGACGGATCCACAGCTGCCATTAAAAATATATATAGTGGGAGATCTATCATCAGGATCTCCCACTTCACATGAAGTAATTCAAAAGGATATTGTGAAAATGAAATTATCTATGAATTGTTTTATTTTGTTGTTGTTGTTTCTACTCTAGTGGAAGCCACAAGCCCCAGCCTACTTACAACGGACAACAATCTAGAGCGTTCTTTTTTCATCCGGATGAAATCTACCCTGACCAAGCGAGGTGTGCACATAAAATCTTCAGGATATAAGGTAAACATTGGTCTTGCCTCCTTAGGAGTAGTTAGAAGTTTCCTTTACTCTGAGAGAGAAATGTTGTGGCTGAAGAGCTAACATACTTAAGCATACTTCTTATATCTGGATATCTGCCAAAGTCTGAGCCTGGAAAGTTTGCCAAAGATTGAACAAGACTTTTAAAGTTAAGAACATTTCCGTAGGAAAAAGTACATGGATATTTTATTTATTTCCCATTGCTATTTATATTTCTAAATGGCTGTTATCTCTCCCCTCCCCCCCTCTTTTTTGGAGGATGCAGTAGTCTGAAACTAATTAAATATCCCTGGAGGTTATGGCTGTCTTAAATCCAGTGACTGAGTAAATGGTGATCTGACCCACTAGTTTGAAGAAGTAAAAAATAACCATAGGAAGTGTGTGCAAAGTCCTTCCATCACGTATCATACGGGATGAAAAACAAAAACAAAACACTGCAGCATTCTTCAGTCTCACTGACTATCTGGAAAGACCTTGACTTACAACACAGTCCTATACATACCTACTCAGAAGTAATTCACATTAAGTTCAATGGGGCATTCTCAAATAACTGTGTGTAGGACTGCAGCCTTAGTAGCCTACAAAAAAGTAAATATTTAAGAATACCTGGAAATGACCCACTGAATGCAAATGACTTTCTTCTGTGGAAGCATGCATAGGGTTTACCTGTATGATTTAAAGGTTTATTGTCTTTTTTAAAAAAATCACATCCTGTTCACTGAACCTTACATGAACAGGACCTTACATATCATAGTCATTGTTCTAAGGTGTCCTCTGTTTCCAGCCTGCCATTAGAATTATTCAAATTTTCCTGAATTTACATATGAGCCTTAAAAAGACCTATATGAGTAGATGTGACTTAAGGGCATCAGGAAACTGCCTTTAGTTATCACCACCCACCCCACCCCACCCAGCATTTATCACTGTCCATAAATAATCAAACATACCTGAGGGTTGCCTCTCGTTGTTTCCCTTGGGGTTAAGAATAAAGTAGCTCTTTAGTATAACCACAGTTTTCAGTTTGAGCTCTTAACATTTGTTTACAGTCTATGCTGCTGTCCTATTTTCTATTGTCTTGCAAGAGAGAGGAGCCTTGTCCAATCTTCCTGCAGGGGCCATCCAATACATATTTAAATCCAAGTGTGAAGTTCACACATCCTTTTGCTTTGCTTTGCTTTGCTTAGCTTTGCTTTGCGTTGTTGTTTTGTTTTCTTGCAGTCCGTCAGGACAGCAATACACACAAAACATTGGCTCGTGGGGTAAAATGGCAGTATTAAATGGTTATTGATCTTTTGGCTAGTGGGGGGACCACAGAATACAGCAACAGTGACAAAGTGCAACCTTGGAAAGGTCCAGGAATTGAAAATAATAGCAAAACTGACTACTTTCACTTCAGCCAAGTGCCCAGGTAAAACCGAGGCTCTGGGCAGAAGCTTCAGGAATATTTAAGTACAATAATCCCTACTCTATTTTTCTTATACCTTTTTAAAATGAGAACTTTAATCTTATCTTACCCAGGGATGGCAGCGTATAGAACACATTCTGGTACTGTTCTTTCTAAAGTGAATAGCATTTCTTTTTGGTTCACTGTCACATTTATATCCCACATTTCTTCCAAAGAGCTCAAGGTGATGTTCATGGTTTTTCTTCTCCCAGTTTTTAACTTCACAAGAACCCTTTGAGGTAGGCTAGGCTGAGAAGAGAGAGACTAGCCCAAGATCACCCAGTGAGCTTCGTGACTGCAAAGGGATTGAACCCTGGCTTTCCAGATCCTAGTCCAACAGTCTTAACTTCTGTTCTTCCCTGTCTCTCACAGAGCATCAGCAGAGGTGTTGTTGTACCAAACAGGCTTGCATATTGTATGTGAGAACACACATCAGCTGGCATGCTAAAGACATGTCTATAAGCAGGAAATGGTTGAGAAAACGAGGAAAGGTGTACACTGTGCAAATGAAGACCTGCCTTTCTTACTTTTAGACAATGTCCTCTGAAAAGATGAAGCATCTCTTCAGTTAGATACTGGCAGGTGGAACTGAGTTCCCACTCCAGAACACCTGATTTGAATGTAAACAATGCTTTTGAAGGTTTAAGAAGCTACCTGACAATAAACCTTTTGTATATTTTTTTAAAAAAAAGAATTCCAAATTGAATATGCAATTTCCATATTGTCACCTGTTTCATATTCACACATCATGCTAAACTTACAGCAGTCCCCTTTCTTCTTAGGCAAATTGCCATCCATTGAAAGCATGGATGGGGAACCTTTGGTCCTCCAGTTCACACTGGACTACAGTTCCCATCATCCCTGATCATTGGCCATGCTGGCTAGAAATGATGGGAGTTGGAGTCCATGGGATGGAAGGCCATCACCTCTTTCTCTGTGGTGTAAATGCTTTCTGTACTGTTTTAGTCACTACTGTTTAGCCTCTACACACAAATTAAGGACGAGGTATGACATTCCTCTAGTCCTGTAGTTGTTCATTGAACTTGAGGGAGGTACCGTAATTTTTCATAGGAGGAAACCCCAGAACAAAAAGGAAGTTTGTCCAGCTATGTAGGGTGAATGGTGTGGAGACTTCCAAGAGAACAACTTCCAGTTGGGTGGGGAGGAGCCCATGATTGGCTGGTATGCTTCCCTGAGTTTCTAGCCATGAGAAAGACCTGAACAGTGAGCACAGCAGGGAGGAAGACTTCCTCCTGTTAGAGCCCAGGCGTGGACTCCTGGGGACATAGGAGCCTCAGGAGAAACCAACCTGGGCAGCTTGCGGGGCACGTATTCTGAATGCACTTTCAAGACTTGAAAGAATGCTGAACCATCAGCATGCACTAAATATTGAATCCAGCATTTCAGCCCATGCCGAAAACTCTCTGAATTGACAGAAGAAATTACTTTAGTGCTGACCCATCATAGTAACTGAGTAAACAAGTACATTGGCTATCATGTTCTCAGCAGCAAGTTACACATAACCTCAGGCATCTGTGAATGTGTGTTCTTGAAAGAGAAAATATTTGCTGCGATGCAGAGATCATTCTGGCCTTCAGCTGAGCCTCTGGTGGGATAAGGAAATGCCTTGGGATGTTTAGCCACCATGAAGGCAGCCTATGTGAGAGGACACCAGGGACATTTTATTTCAACAATTTATCCGTAGCACAGAAGATCTAAATATACACTTCACTAAAGTCTTAAAAGAATATATATATATATATATATATATATATATATATATATGGTATGAGCCAATGTCACAGACTGCTTTTGCAGACAGATTGGTTTTCTCTCGGTAAAAATTTGAAGAATTCCTTTTTAAAGGAATCTGTCAGACAAATGTCCAAAGCACCTGTGGAAAAAGCACAGAAATCTTAATAATTAAACTTGTCTTTTGTCTTTCTAACAGTTAGTACTAATCATAGCACATTATCTTTAAAAGAGAGGGGGGGGACTGTTGATTTGATAAGCTCAGTGAAAACTAGAAATGCAAATGTTCAATCACAGGCAGACAGCCAAAATTTCAGTAATGGAGACTGAAAATTTGATTAATTTCTTTCCTATAAATCAACTCCCATGTACAGAAATAGTTTTGAAATACGTTAGCTCGCAAAATTGAAAAATGTTGAAAGCTACAGAAATGGTTTCCACAAACAAGTCCTTATGCACCAAATTTAATTTTGTGCAGTGCTAATTTCCTGACATCCCAAAACTAGGTGTTGTATCATGGTTGTTTGTGGGGATGATTATAAGTGACTCAGTGATTTAATAAAGCGCTCTTAAAAGTTGCGCTAAGGACATAAGTCTTGTATTACTGGAGCAGAATAAAGGGCAGGGGGCATTTTCATGGGGAGGTGATGTCAGCTGAAGAGTGGGGCAAGATCAATTTTTTGTTTGTTTGACTAAAGTATTCTTATACCACCCTCTTGAAAAACACCTTGAGTATGTTCTGCCTTCATGCAGAACATACTCAAGACTATACAGCAAGCAGCAGCTCATTTTAAGACCATATGATGTCTTTCTTTCTTTCTTTCTTTCTTTCTTTCTTTCTTTCTTTCTTTCTTTCTTTCTCACCTAGATAGCTCAGTCAGTAGCGCATGAGACTCTTAATCTCAGAGTCATGGGTTCAAGCCCCATGTTGGGCAAAGGATTCCTGCATTGCAGGGGGTGGACTAGATGAACCTCGTGGTCCCTTGCATCTCTACAATCCTATAATTCTAAGAATGTTAACAATGGGAAAGAGCTGTAGCTCAGTAGCAGAGCATCAGCTTTGCATGCAAATGTCCTGGGATCAGGCCCCAGTGTCCTCAGGTAGGATTAGGAGAACCCTGGTCTGAAACCCTGCAGAGCCACAGCTAATGTAGGCAGTACTGAGGGCATGGACTAATATATTTGAATAATAATAATAATAATTCAAAACAAAAAAAATCTTACATAAGAAAATTGTATCTTAATATGGCAGAGGCAAAAAAGATGTGATTCTATAAATGAAGGTTATGCCTTTTAGTTTATTTTCATAATTGCCGTATTTTTCACCCTATAGGACGCACCGGCCCATAGGACGCACCTAGATTTTTTTGGAGGGGGGGAATAAAGGGGAAAAAATTATTTCCCCCTCCCCAGGCGTGGGGCTGGGGTGGGGGAAGCCCGAGCTTCCCCCGACCCCAGCTCCCAGAACGGGACCCAGAGAGATGGGACAGTGAGAGATGGGACCCAAGTCGGGGGACAGCGGGAAAGGCGCGCTGCACCTCCCTGCTGTCCCCCAAGTTTGCGGGGCTGGCAACGGGGAGGAGCAGGCTTCTCCCCCCCGCCAGCCTTCTAACCAAGTCGGGGGACAGCGGGATGGCGGCGTTCCGCCTCCCCGCTGTCCCCCGAGCTTGTGGGGCTGGTAGTGGGGCTCTCCTGAAGCCTGGAGAGCGAGAGGGGTCGGTGCACACCGACCCCTCTCACTCTCCAGGCTTCAGCGAAAGCCTGCATTCGCCCCATAGGGTGCACACACATTTCCCCTTCATTTTTGGAGGGGGGAAGTGCATCCTATAGGGCGAAAAATACAGTAACCTGCATTTGATATGGCAGAGTACACCCTATTAGATAAGCTGCTCCTAAAATGTCTATAGATATCTTATAGATTAGCACAGTGTAGTCTTACCCATGGCAGTAAGAGTTGTTTGCAACTAGGCCTTTGCTTTAAGTTCCTATGAAAATAGTGTTGCCAGTGTAGTTTTTCCATCATCAATTGTAAAGGTTAAAGAGGAGGGGGAGGGAGAGAGAGAGAGCGCGCTGGACAACCCCCCACCCCCCCCAGCTTGTACTGAACAAAAGAGCTGATACACAATAAACAAACATGCATTATGGGTTGCCTTCAGTCACTTTATAGTCATATGCATTCATAAATTTTGATACAGCTGTAAGAAGCCGACTTTGATGGGACAAAGCTCACAGAAGAGCTTTAGATCATAGGAGTAACCAGAGACGAAGTTTATGTTGACAATTTATCAGCAATTCTCTGTCAAAAAAAGAAATGTTTTTAGTGTTTACCTATTAGCAGTTGCATGCAGATTATGAAATTGTGTTTTGGGGAAGAAAGCCTGCCATCTGTCTTTTCTTCAGGGTGTTTTTCTTTTCTTTTTACACTTTATCAAGTTAAACTTACAAATATCTTGTTTTGCAAAGCAGAATAGAACATGTGGTGTCCATTACATGGACAAGGACAAAGCAAAACAGACTCAGCAGCAATGTAAGTCACTTAAGTTAGGAATTTTAGAAGCACAGAGCAACTGATGCCTTGTGTGTACCATCCGTGAGAGTTATTCAGCTTTTCCATTCATTGCATTATCAGCTGGAAAGCTATTTCTCTCATTTCATTAGTGCTGGAAAACTAATTAATTCATTGCTCAAGAAGTGCTAAAAGGTTTCTTTAACAAGGACTATGTACGAAACAATGTGTTTTTGTTGCATGAGAAGCTGTCATGGAGAAAGGAGAAGATACATTTAATATCTCCTTTTTTTGTTCAGATATGCCAAGATTTTATCAATAATACTGGTTTTCTGCACCAGTACTCATCTCCAGGAAAACACACACTGTGTAGCTGCCTGGATGACACCTCTAAAAATATGAATGTTGATGATTCTGTTAAATTGGCAGAAACTGTGCACACTATCATGAGACAGGGATTTCTGAAAAGACAGTTGCCAGGTTCTTCCATGTATAACCTGTGCTTGTATGGCGAGGCATTTATTGTGCTATAAAACCCATCACTGATTTTGGCCAGTTCAGATTGATTCTGCAGGAGCTGTAAATAATGAACCCCACGGACAGAGCCAAAGGGGGAAAACATGCCAATAAACTTTTGGCTGCTTCAGTACAGGCTGTAGAGTTAATTTAACCACAATTTCTTTTACCAGATCATGTAGCCATTGCCCTTCAAAACAGGAATATGTATCCAAAACAATGTAAAGTGACAAAGCCCAGCCTTTTCTTAAATTTAGCTGTTGAAACAGGTGTTCAGGTGCTGTTTTTCCTTAACACCACAGAGAACTTACCAGACTTTCCCTTTGCATCAAACAACAACAGCATGGCAATTCAATGACTTATGTATTGTGTTAGTTAACAGTCATTTTGAGCGGTTTCTCAAAACTGACCTTACCTTCTTCTTTTTCCTCTTAGAGGGCCTATGTCTTTCACAGTTAAAGGGAGCAGTTTTCCTTTCTCTGCCTCTCCACTGTACCTGTGAGATATCTTGTCATGCATATATTATCTAGGCACAGAGGGTCTCTGTCAATATTCCCACTGGATCAGGCTACTGGAGGCTTCACACGTCATTTGTAGCCTGCAATTGTCAAAGCAGTTTCATTGGTCTAGTAGAGGGGTGGTTTACCTTCCCCCTCTCCACTGGCGGGAGCAAAGTCTGACTCCACCCCATTTGATTTATGCTTGCTTGAGCAAGCAAATTTCTGTTTATTATAGCAGGAGCAAGATAGATTGCAATGGCTCAGTTCAGATATTACACTATGGGCTGCCACTTTGTGAATATGAATCACCCTTATGTATTCATTTCCACTACCTCCTCCCCTCACAGACTGTGATTCCTTCATTCCCTTCCTGTTAGGTGCTATGTGCACACCGGGCAGCTTTGCATAAGCCATTACTTGTCTGGGAACTAGGAATGGAAAACTTGATCAAACCATGGTTTCTGTTTCCAGGGGTTTGCACATACTTTGCCCGGTCTGACAAACAATGGTTTGGCAGAACATAGAACAAAGAGGGAGATAAAAAGAATCACAGTACATAACAGGATGATAGTGTGTGTGAACCTGAGGTTTGTTCACACAGCTGAAAGCCCTGATTGGACCATTTTTTAAATCTGGCTCATGTTCTAATTTCGTATTTTATGAATTACCAATGACCAGGTGGTAGCCAGCATGATTTTACCTTTCAGTAATTTAGTAAATGTCTACTCAAATACAAAAAAAGCAAAAACACTTAACGTTGGTGGACTGACAATTGTTCTGAAACATCCTCTCTCTACTTTACTTATAATATGATTAATTCGAGAACAAATTACTAGTAACCTCTTCTTGAAAAAAAGCATATTTTAGGTAGCATGTTAGTTAAAGAAAATTAATCTCTCTGTGCTAAATTTGCCAGCTTTGGAGTTAATTACCTTAGCACAACAATCCATTAATAAATGTTAAGGAAGCAAGGGAAAGTTGGTCAAGTTTTTAAAAAATGCCTTGATTTCAACTGCAGATATACTAGAAGTCTATCATAATTTGTTATTGAAGATCCAAGAATGCAAATTTTGCACTGTTTTCACTTATGCCTATATGGTTTTCTTATGATTTTATTTTAGTAGCCATTCTAATTCAGGACAGCAGAATTCTGTTCCTGTGCTAGCAAATAATTGTTATGTGTGTGCTGATGACATAGCTCTACTGTCATACCCTCTGACACGACATTGCCCCAAACTGGGACACCATCCTCTGGGTACGCACTCCTGCACGAGTCACATGACCTGCACAAAATTACGGACTCGGGAAAAAGCACTTTTAGGGTGCCCAGAGCCCAAAGTCATGGACCCCAAAATATGTGTTTTGGGGAACCATGTGAAATTGCAGACCCAAAAATAAATGCTATTCTCAGGGTGAGATCTCAGCCCAAAATCGCATGACAGCATGGCACCCAAAATAGCATCTTCTGGGAAAAGATGGGACATCCCATTTTTTCCTGGACAGTTGATGGGTATGTATTATATGATGAACCCCAGTGAAGGGGATTCACAATTAGCAGGCCTCATCCTCAACACTGGTCTGTCTGCATAGTCCCAACACATGCGAAGTGCATGTGAGTAGGCCCTGTATGCTTAATTCAGAATCCTGAGCATAGCTAGTTTTCCAGTTCTCTGTATATATGAAATGTATCTAGACTTATCTGGACAGTACAGTGAGCATGTCTCTAGGTAAGGCTACAGCCTGCTGTTGTGTTCCTACTCTGTTTCCTACGCATGTTCCCTGTGCATGTATTAGCCCTTTTCAGGTGTTACTTTCATGGTTAAGGTCAACACATGACGTGAGAGACAGCAGAGATAGGTGGATTAGCTCCACCTCCTGTCACTGTTCTGATCACCTTCCAACTTCCATGACATGAAGCAGGGAGCTTCCTGGACCCATGAAGCCTCCCCCTGTGTTTTAGAACCCTGAATCTGAAATGCAAGGGAAAGCCCCATGAGCACGGAAGTTGGATTGTGATCAGAACAGAGACAGAGCTAACATGCCCCAATGCCCCATTGTCTCCCTCATATGTTTAATTTGGAATCTAATCCCTGAAGGAGGCTTATAGTTCATCTAAACAGGGTTAATGCCATGCCCTCTGGTGTTCTACTCCTACATGGCAGCTAAGCTGGGCACAGGATTTTACAATGTTCTGGGAGAAGCTGCTTCCCACAAAATTGAGGTGTGATTTTTGTTCCTTCCCCCGCCAAACAATGGAGACAAGTTCTCAATTTCAGCTAAGCCATGAAGTTGTAAAAATGCAGTGAAAAATATCACCAAAGGGATTATGTATTCCTACAGTCATCAGAAAATGGAGCTGTAGTATAGATCAAAACCTTGGCAATGCGACTTAGCGTGGGATTTGAAGATCTTG